GCGCTGCTTTAGATCACTAGTCTTATGATAAGGGTGTCCGCAGTTAGTTAAGTTTCGTATTCAGCAAAGGAGAAGCAGATTTTCCTATGCTTTTCCTAAATAGCAGGCCCGCTGCTTCACAATTTCAATATGACTGCCCCCATAAATGTTCCATTAGCACCTGCATCACGGAACGATTTTGTTGAGTGAATGCATTCTTTCGAACTGAAAGTGAAAATGAGGAAGAAACCAGATAGGAAGAAAAGGGGAAAAAAGGCAGCAAATATACCATCTGCAATTACTGGGGTTGGAAAAGTGCAACATTAAAAATATTACTTCTACAAAGAAGAGAGTACTCGTTACACCTATCACATGAAAATGATTGGCTTTCTACATTAAATTGCATTGACAATGCACAAGTTCAGCTAATGATCCGACCCTCGACTTAGGACTCCGTAAATTATTGAACCTTCTGGTGGTGCAATTCCAACGAATGTATTGATATTGTTACGGTACGACTTTTCGTGTCGTAGTCCGTTGTGGGGTCCGGGTGGAAATAAGGTCACAAGGGAATACGGCGACAACAAACAGATAGTTTATTATTTTGTCTCTATTCGTCCAGTATCAACATCAACTCTTCTTCTTGATCCGGAAGCGCTGCGAGGTCTTCGTGTCCGGGGGCCGGCGTCGCTCTGAGTCTCCCGCTCGGAGGGTCCCACTCCATCGTCGTGGATGCCCCTAACGTCTCCACACGCACTGCGGTAGAGAGGAGGGATGAGGGGTTGTGTTCTGCGTAGGAGACCCGGGCTGCGGTCTAGCCGGGTCGTTGCAGGTTGTTTTGACCCGTACTCGGCAGGGCTTAGGTCGAGCCTACTTTTGGGATCGCAACGGGTCGGCACCGTTCAGGGCTGAGGTCAAGCCTGATTCGATGCGAGGTACCTTACTCCGCAGGGCTTAGGTCGAGCCTGCTTTCGGGTCACTCCGGGTTCGCACTTGTTCAGGGCTTAGGTCGAGCCTAACTCGATGCGAAGTACTTTACTTCACAGGGCTTAGGTCGAGCCTGTTTTTCAAATACGGGGATCTCAGCAGGAGGGAGCTATTCAGGGCTTAGGTCGAGCCTGCTTTTGCTGCCTCGCTGAGGGTTCGCTTTTCCGTCTCCCTCTCCCGAGAGTCCTTCCTTGGGCCGGCTTGCGAACGGCCGTGATGCGGCCGTTCGCTCCTGCTGGTGACTCCTCAGCATGTAGGGTTGAAAGGCATGCTGTTCTTCCTTACTTCTTAGCATGTGGCTCTAAAAATACTCTATGTAACTATTACATCGGGACCAGCGCATATATTTTAATCCGCTATATACTCTGAATAGAGAACATCGGAGCTCACTAGTGACACCAAGTGGCGGGGACTATAATTGGAGGTCAGGGGTCAATCATCCTACGCGGGGTCGCATTATTTATACTCTCTTACCGTGACAATATAATTTTTGGTCTGACGTGATGTAATCGATTTAACTTGAATTGAGTCACTATCAAAATCGGTTTCTCATGCGATTATTCATGTGCCTACAAATTACATGTTGAAATGTAGCTTTTTTCATTGCTATTGACTAGTATTGCAGTGTTTCAAAATCTTTTGCGTTACAATTTTCCCCATTGATCGAAAATATGCAATTTTTCTCATGTTTGAAAATATTAAAATTTCTTGCAGTAAGCGAAGAGAAAAGTTATATTTAAAAGTCTATTGGTCTATTGGGTCACTTTCTTCCTAGGGGGCTACATTAGGGGCAGCATATCTCGAGAAGCAGTTTAGCTAAGGCTAAAATTAGAAAGTTTTCATAGCTCGGAGAGCTCACTATGCGTGGGAATTCTCTATAAAAATTCTGTCGCAGGAAAAACTTAAGTTCTTGAAATTCGATCAATTGAGCTGGGATGCCTCTTACATGAATTATTTCGAATTGTATCGCATTCTCCGGATGAAATAGAACGCATTCTACACAGTGAAGGTGACCTCACGGTGTGAGATTCACTCCCCCCGACTAAATAGGAGAGAGCCATTACGACTTTTCCGCGAGACAATTACACCCACTGCCTCGATCGATGACCTTTTTCGTCCTTCAAATCCTATCCTGTAAGGAGTGTGAATGCCTCTTGAATTTCTGCAATCTATTGTAATTGACCGTTTCCGTTATGCGCGATCATGCGGATGCACGGGGAGAAACATAATGGAAGGAGGAAAAAATAACATTAGGATCCCGACAGCGAAAGGTTACTCCATTTGCATCTCCGTTGACGTTGCATGATGGCATGGCCTTATCACAGCATTTCTCAACCCGGAAACTGTAGCCCCCTAGGAGGAAAGTGACCCAATAGACCAATAGACTTTTAAATATAACTTTTCTCTTCGCTTACTGCAAGAAATTTTAATATTTTCAAACATGAGAAAAATTGCATATTTTCGACCACCCCCCCCCCCCCCCCCCCCCAAAAAAAAAGGTAGAAAAATCAAAAGTAAGTGCGAGTTCTATGCCCTTATTAATGCTCCATTTTATTTTCTCCTAACAGCGTTTATAGCTGTCAGACATGATAGTCGACGATCGGCATTAAGCATTAAGAGGGATAATAATCAGGAAGCGGGTAAAATGCCTTGGCAGAAAAAAAGGAATAAGATGGAGAAACTCTCAAGTCCGCGTCGGCAATATTGAATCCATCAGAGCACATTTCCATGATCTCATTTGCTTCCTCCTCTTCCCGATCGGCATCTCTGTCCTAGCGGCGACTCAGGAAAAAAAAATTGGAAAATGAAATATCGCACTTTTTTGGCTGTCCGCGCTGGTCCCAACTGTCCCAAGAGGAACCGTTAGACTAAATGAAAAAAGCTTTCCCCCAGCTCTTTGTTTTTCTTTAGAAAAGAAGATAAATTTTGTACATTTAGAACCAATTAAAACAGGACTAAATTGTACCCTCCGCCAAACTGCCATAAAATCTGGAGAGAAAAATACGAGAACAGGGAAGCCACTTCATCATTTTAAAATACAAATGATGAACAATGGAAACAATGCAAGGCTAATCTTGAAGTGGAGAGAAAGAAGTGCTTGAACGTAAGAATATGAAGTCGTTGCAAAGAAATGCTATGGGGAATTTCAATCTAACCATACTCGTCCTGAGACTTAAGCTGACCTTATTTTCAGGAGGAGCACAGAAACTTTAACACATTGACTACCATGTCATCCATATGTGGATTTCACGTTAATTTTTAGTGAATGATAATGAAAATGATAAAAGAACGCGAGCAGTCATTATTTTGGTCCGAGGAACGCTCTATTTGCTTGTAGAAAGCTATTACGCGACAGAAATCAGAATTAAATTAAACCTTTTTTGTCATATTGGGTTACATGCACCAGATTCGTTGACTTTAAACTGATTCGTTTTCATAATGGGCGTCCATGGGAATAAGTTTATCTCTGTTAAACTGATTCCCATTGGGGACCATTGTGAGATCAGATTAGTTTAGCTTAAACGGATTCGGTGCATATCACTCAATGTGTAACCAATACATCACATACAATACGACGGCACTAACTTCACATCACTAATAAATCCAGAGTCTTTGCTTCTGTACGGAATCCTGGGACTCTGCATATTATGCTGCAACATAAAAATAACATATCGGAGGTTCAAATTACTCATTTGATAAGGATGAGATGAACAATGAGCTAATCAGAGACCACCAGTCTCGTGGTGACATCATAGATTGACCTACATTGGAAACCGTGGACAGGTAACTTGAAAAAGAAAATCACAGGAGAGATGCTACTTTTGAGAATTTATTATGTAAGGAAAGCTCGGATTCTCACGGGAGAGGGCACCATTATTTAAATATAAATATAAGGTACTTTAGAAAGGGAAATTCGCAAGAATGTATTCTCCATCGCAGTCAATGTGTAAGAAACACTTCTATGCAGAAAGAAACACAATTATTTAGCATAAATCCATAAATCATTCTGACTATACGGTCCTCTTAACCGAAACATGGGGGGAATACGATTGGGCGAGTAAAAAGTGGCTTATAAAGTTTAATAAAAGTTAATGTAAGACTCTCCACTTCAGTCAAAATAACGGTAGGTCTCTGAGTGACTTCGGCGAGTATAAAAGCTGTGGAAGGCGAATCGGGAGAGAGATGCAGGGATCACTTCAGTCGAACAACTCAAGTTCTCCGAGCACGCCCAGGCAACCTTTTTTGTTAAACTTAACAGGGTTTTAGGCAGAATCTGGCATCCCATTAATAGCAGCAGCGAGTACTTTTTGTTGCATCCAGCGCTGATGGCCATTTACAGTGTTCTCTTCAGTTTTGGAAGCCTGTAAATACTGTAAAAGTGAACTGACAGCGCTGGAAAGGGTACAGAAGCGTGCTACGAACATGAAGGAGTTACGAGGAATTTTCGCACTATAGAGGTTTAGAAGCTTGGGAAAGTATTTGCTGAACAGAAGTTGAAGGAGGGGGAACCTCATTCAAGGATCTAACATTATTTAGTCGCACTCAGATTTTTTCTTCAAAATAGTTTAGTGCAAAGGTTCAGTGAGCTACCACAGCTCGTCGAAAGAATCCGATGGGTTAAGGAAATCGCTAACGTGGAAGGTGGTAGGTTTTTCAGCGTCCATGGTAGAAACAGGATGAGAGATATCCAGTTCAACTTGTCTAAACTCCAAGCAAGATTCAAGTTGCGACACGAGGATTATTTGCCGGGTAGCGAATACGTGGAACGACATAGGTGATGTATCATAGTAGCTACCCCTTCCATCACAAGCTTTAGGAAGAGGTTACATGCCGGCATGAACACAAAAAAAGGAGTTATGCAGCGCTGTAAGTAGGTAGGCAGTTGGTGGATATGCTCCCACGAAAACATATTTTTAAGAGCCGTAAGCTTGATTTGTTTTGTATATATGATCGTTAGACCTTGAATCGAGACGTCATCAGAGACAAAAATGCCTCTTGAACCTTGAAATGCTGTCTATGAACTCCTTGAATCCATGTACTTGGGCAGGAGACAAGAGGAGGATCCCATTGGCTGTTACTGGGTGTGGCTCTTCACCTTGTCCAAGATCCTGGAATTCGGAGACACGTACTTCATTCTTCTTCGAAAGCAGAAGCTGATCTTCCTCCACTGGTATCACCACGCCACCGTCCTTCTCTTCACCTGGTTCAACACGTCCCGCTCCGAGACTCCCGGCGTTTGGTTCTGCGCCATGAACGCTGCCGTCCACACCATCATGTACACCTATTACGCTCTGAGAGCCCTGAAGTTGCCCGTGCCCCGAGGGATCATGATGTCCATCACCATCACCCAGATCCTCCAGATGGTTCTTGGCCTCACTCTGTGCTTCCTGGTCGTCGTTCGTCAGTGGTTGGGTCATCCGTGCACGTTCTCGAGGGCCGTATTCCGAGCTGCCCTTCTCATGTACCTCAGCTACTTCCTACTCTTCCTTCAATTCTTTTTACGCACCTACAAGCCGAAGCCGAAGCCAGTTGAGGCAGAAAAAAAGCCACCTGAGAAGGTCAACGGCCTTTGGAAGCACAAAACGACGTAGAGAACTTTGAAAATCATCGAGATATGTTTATTTTCAGAAGAGCTTAATTTTTAGGAAGAGAATCATTTTGAGAGAGAAATGGTCTTAGAATATTTAAGAGAGTCTAAGAAATCGGGGATTTTCCAGAGGGTGATCTGGTCCCATCCAACTGTGTCATGTGCCTCCTCCCCCTGCCCCCTCCCCGTTCCAAGAAAAAAAAAAAAAAAAACCTTTTCCCTCCTCCATGAATAGGTGCTGCGAATTTGAAACTGCGTTCTGGACGATTTTTGGACATGTAGAGGACGATTTTCAGCTGGTTGAGCTCATGGATCATTTTTGGCTTCTTGAAAAAAAAAATAACAACAACACTGACATACATGTCAGTATCTCCATTATTTCGTTTGGAAGAGAAAGAAAGGAACAATTGGAGACAGAAAGTTGGAAAATCGGGTTTCGGCACGTAGGACAGGAATAACCACGGGTGGTCATTCAGTCGCAGCATTGCCACAATAATGAAACAACAAATTTATCACTGGTTGGACGCATGTGAGCACGTGTTCATGGAAGCTCGGGCACTTGGTACTGACGATAACATGAAGCTGCATTGTTGACGCCATCATAAAAAAATCAAGTAGCTTTCGTTACGGTACTTTTTCAGTGTAGACTGGATTGAAGTTTGAATTTTCTGCTAATTCCGCAGCCTTTTAGTTTTTCATCGTTTAAGGAATGGAGAATCCGTTCTCCTTCCCCTCGGAAGGAAGCGTCTGACAGACCGCCGATAAGCCCGAAATCCCTACTGCAATCTACTCGACAGTGAAAAATGCCGCAACCGAGGCTCTCGATTTCCACGAAATGTTGCTCCAAATCGTGCCTATCCTTCGATTCCATGATCTTGCGGAAAATCTTCCTCCTTCAGAGTTCTCGATTCCTTTTTCCCTACTTCCACACAATAATACCATAGGGTTGTAAGCCTTATTCACGCACAAGAAAAAACCAAATCGGCAATCAAGTTTCCTCAATTCATCCGCCAACATTCTTGAATTACATGAGGTAAAAATGAATTAGAAACCATCTTAACGAGAGGTTAGCGAAGAAAAATGTGATTTTCCGCAGACCCGAGCAAAAAAGAAAAAAGCTTACTACTTTGAGTCACCGTGCAAAAAAAAAAAAAACAAGATCCGTTCGTAATGATTGCTGCTACGTGAGACTTTTACGAGATTGACTTATAGTGAAGGAAGAGATTTCCCCTGATATGCGGAGGAAGTTCAGATTCCACAAGATTCTCATTGTCTGCCTCTTCTCTGAATATCCTTGTTAATATATTTAACATCATGACTATGCAGATAAATGAAGAGCTAGTAAAGGAAGCCGATGGATCTAGATTGGCACGATTACTTCGTTCAGTACTTGGGCGTTTTCGCCAACGCACCATGAACGGGCAACGACGATCGACTTTGAAAATTCTCCGCATCGTGAGCTTCGTGCGCTTTTCTGGATGAGACTCGATCCTACTCTTTTCTAAACTCGCCTCAACTTTCGGCAGAATCCGGGAGCGATCGGTCTCGGAGAAAACTGGCAACGTCGCCCTGGCATTCGAGGGAAAATCCTTTTCCTTTCTCTCTCTCCTTTCGGAGCGGTCGAACGGGATCGTCCCGTCAGTCATCGATGGAACGATGTCTATCATACGAAGAGTTTCTTACCTTTGGCTCGGTTCGTTGGATGTGCGTCACCGTCACGGAAAGCATCAGATACTTTTTATCACTTAGCAACCAAAGGAGGGATACGGACGGTCTTCTCCGCGGTCTGCTCATCGTCTTATCGACTCTGTGATTTTCGTATTGTTTCTTGAGGATGGAATAAATAGAATTACATTTAAAAAAAAACTCGATAAAAATGCTGAAATGATACACGAATAGACTCTAGCGGAGTTGAGAAACGGTCGTCGTTCCGATCCGAGTACGATGAACTCTACCCCGAAGGAAGGGCATTGCATGCTGCTACGTGCATCGGAGGGATCGATAAAAATGCACGGGAGTCCGCCCCTATTGTCTCTGCTTTCCCGGCACGTAGATTTTGCTTCTGCTAAGGAAACAAAGACCGCTCTCGTCCTTCCCGATAACGGGAAAGGATCGCGGTATAAGAACTGGAGATTTCGGGATCGTACGACTTCCATTTTCAGTGAAACTCATGGACTTCGGGGGATCCAGACGTCGGTAAGCCTGCATTTTTAAATCGGCCCTCGCTTCGCGTGACTTCTCGGATAAGAACACTCGGAAATGGATGGACTTCGTGTGCATGAAGGTGAAGGTCACTTCTCGTGCAGTCCTTCCGCTAATGGACTCATGCAGGCAATCTCCACCGTTTGTCCACACGGGATCTTTAACATCTTCCCCTTTTTTAGCTATCACGCACAATCGACTTTGTTCTCCCTCTGCAGCACTCTAAATGAAGAAAATTAGATTCTCTTTTCGATAAATGCTCGTGGAAGTGACTCCCCGAGCCCCACGGTGAGCGTTGTACCACTCGAAAGACGCCCGATCCAAAAGATATTGCAGATATTTGTGGGGGCATGGACGGACCTGTTCCATTTTTCAAAGAATTCAATCTTAACACAATATGTAGTAAAAATGTTACGTTATCCATCAGTCAAACGGCCAGGAAGGAGATCCTGCTCTTTTCCAATTCCTTCCCCTCCGGCTATAGGCCATATTCATTCTTTTACTTCATTTCTTTTAATCGTGAGAACAGCAACGAAAATCACTAGGATCACGGATAATCTTTTGAATTTAAAAAAAATTCGGACAAGTAGTTTTGCGAGTTCTGGCAAGTTCTGTCCCTGGGTGTTAACTTTTACTTCAATATATTGAAGGTTGAAGTTATTTTCGAGATCTTCGGATAAAGAAAAGGTGAAGAGAGGAAAGGGACGGATGATTCCTACTCGCTGGGTCTATGCTGCCCCAAAGATTAATGCAAATGGACCCATTCTGCCTTTTAATTTTTAAATGGAAAAGCGATATTAAAGGATCTAAAATTGAAAGCGACCGACGGATCTTTGTAGCCCTGTATAATCTCTGTTGAAATATCCTCTCATCTGATTTTAAAGATACACTCACGCGATGGGGGAAAAAATATTTCAGAAGCCTTCCTTGTCTTTAAATAAATAGGCAAGGTTTGAATTCGGAATGAATCAATTTAGTTCCGCTGCTATAAGAGTAAAAATTTGAAGTCGCATCGACAGAATTTCGTGGATGACTAGGACGAGAAAATCATCGTGCGAGTCAATATCAGATCAGAACATGTCGTTGACCTCTTGTAACAACTACCCAAAAATGCCCATCTTTCTCAAAATTTCCACTTCGGAAAAGAAGGAAAAGGAGGAAATAAACTCGGTAAAAGAAATGAAAGGTCGAGTGCAGTGACTCGATGGTGAATGAGAACCGTCAGACAGGAAGATGTAACCATGCAGGCACAGTCCCGGTTGCCTGCGTCATTTCACCATCTTGCCTGAACGCCTTATATCAGGCATTAAATTCCAACCATGGGCACCACTTTCCACAAAACGTCCACAAACGCAAAAAAAACTTCCTTTCAAATTCTTTCCTGCTTATTTGTCATGCTATCACAGGGAGATCAGTGATTGACATGCCTTATCTGACCGAATATATCTGACAACCTTTACTGGTATTTCTATCAGCTGGCCACTACAATAGGAACGGAGTACCGTTCATCCCTTCCTAAAAAATCAATTCAATTTTTAATTTTTTTTCTGTATTATGAGCTTTATGCTCATTGTTTCACGATGGAAGACAGAAACTTGATCAAACTCAAGCAGTGTTCTCTTGGATGGAAAATCTACATTTCTGTCATTCTGTATCCTCTATTCTGTATTCATGTGACCGGCGTCGACTTTGGTGCGTCAAACGGTCTGTCTGGCTCCTAACCTTCATACTCCATTACCTTATCCAAAAAAAATACGGTGCACAATTTTTAATACAGAAACGATCTCCTTCATCGTCTGTCACGGAGTCGTATGCGTCTCCCCCTTCCCCAGAAATTTGCATGATTTCATCTGCGATTCGTCAAGGTGCATAGAAGAAATTAGATGTGTCGCATAGCGTGAGCGGGAATTCAAGCGCAACTTTTCGTGATTTCCAGTCAACCTTGAATCTCTTCTTGGTTGTCCATTCGATTTGCCGTTTTACGCTTGTCAAGGCGGGAACGGTCGGGGGTGAAGCTTATAGGTAATTCCACTCCCCCCCTCTCCCTCTTCTCTCTCTCCTTTTTCCTCTCCCTTCCTCTTCCTTCCCCTCCATTCAGCACTGTCACGATTTGAGCGTCCAGAAGCGCCTGTGAGTGTCTCGTATGCATGCCGCGTATTTCTTGCATCCGGATTGGAAAACATCCGGGATGGAGATTGGGTTCGTTATTTAAGGAGATCTTCAGCTCTCTCCCCATGCCGAGGATACGGGCATGAACGCCTAAATGACTGGTCGCTGCAGGACTCAGGGAGTCAGCGAATCTTCCTCGAGGGCCGAAGACCATTCTCGCGATCCTTCTAGATTCTCTTCAAATCGGCTGCATCGCGCAAGACCAGAAATCCTTCGCCATCGAGAGTAATGCGTTAAAAATAGCGTCGTTACTGTACTGTGACTTTCTTCTGCGACGTGTACATGTAACAGTTACCTTTCCTGAAGTGTAACGAATTCCGGTAGCAAGCTACATTTTTGTCGCAAACAGTAACCAAGCTACTTTTTTGCTGTTTTTCTCAGTGCTTCGTTGTTCGTTTGAAAAAATTGACGCGAATACCCACACGCGTGAGCTTATGTGCAATTCAAATGCTTAATATGCACCAGAGAAGAGCTATGCTATTCATGTCAAGTCGTGCCAACTCGGCTTCCTTGAGGCTTTCGAGGTCATTGTGGCTCATGGCGCCTACTGAGGGTGCACGTCGCGGCAGGTGAGTTCAAGACTCTTTCGGAAAATAGTAACAAGAAAGTAACCAGTTTTTTTGCAGACTGTAACTTATAACTTTAACTAGTTAATGTTGAAAAGTAACCTCCCCAACACTTGCTATAGCGCAGAGAACACGATACATCAGGTTTTTTCTCTCGATTTTCCTCTCGTCGAGAAGAAAAATCGTCAGCTCAAAGATATTTTCCCATTGGCGTTTTTGAAGATACTCAAGGTGGGAGAAAAGACAGACGCCCCGTCGCATGCCGAAAATGCTCCTTGCGATGCGGAACGTGCGCAGTTCGGTTCGTTGACGTTCGAGACCTACACCTCCTGGGTGCACTTTAGTGCAGACTTCACCGAGTAAATTTTATGCATTATCTAGATCGATGCCATTTTCCGATCCGAAAATTCCAAGGAGCTACCGACGACAATGAAGCATCGACAACGATTCAGAATGGAGAATTTCCTTAGTCTATATAGGGGTCGTGGCCCGACCTAATCGGAGGGAAACGGATGCGGATGCAAGAACCTAATCGAGGAATCGCGTCATCGTGATGAGTTTCGCTGCCGTGGATTTAGGTTCCCGAGCGCGTATTGCAAGGAGAAATGGCGCGATGATCCCGGGGTGGGCTCTTGGAGAAGTGCCAAATGGTGGTAATCCCCTCTTCCCCCCGCCCCAGGATTTGAGCCCATCGTTCATCTTCAGCACGTGCCTCTCTCGAACGTGGATCCATCCCTGCACCATCGAAGACGATCGCATCGACCGAAGAAGAGGCCTTCGTCTCGAAGTAGAGGCATGTCGTGTGGGTGAGCGCATATCGTCCCCACGATTTCCCGATGAGAGGCAGATGCTGAGTTCCAGGCATCGAACGATGCGCCGACTTCTCACCGGCCCGGAAACACGTACAGCGTATTCAAAAATTACCGCAACCCACGGCCGTGTAAGTAATATAAGTCTCGTTACTTCTATGGTGAATGATGGCCGAACGAGGTATTCACTCGAAGTGAAGGTATTCACTCCATCTTCTTAGTATCTAGTTACATAACATACATGTTAAGAGTTACACTGCAACCCAAGATGAATTCGAAGAAAAGTTTGGAGAGAAATCAGAACATTGTTGAAGAACAAGAAGTTGCAAGAGAACATTCAGCAAACTGTTGAGGCAATTGATCGTGCAGGACTGACCTGTGTGTTCAACAAAATGATACAACGAGTTCACTCATGTCAAAATAGTGCTGGACAGATGGTACAGTTTCAAAATCTCCTGCAATATCACCATGGGTTGCGGTAATTTTCGAAGACCCTGTAGAAGACGGAACATGGAACGGACCTAGAGGCATCAAAGAGCATTCATATCTCGAGTCCATATGACGTATCCAATCTACGGGTGTGGATTTCATGTTCTCTCTCACCGATTCGGTATTACATGACTATGTTGCGATGTCTCTAGTTGCATATTTTTCTGCGAAATCCAACATATATTAGTTCCAGATCTGTTTCCTGCTATGGGAACAGGAAATCATATCCGTGACGTTAGAACTCGAGCGTCACATAGGAATCCATACTCTTATTCCGTTTTCAGGCGGCGAAGTCAAGTATCATTTTAGCAGACGCCTGTTTTCCCTTTGAATATTCTTCGAGTGAGAAAATTCGTTCCTTCAACAGCTCAGCTTTCATCCGTCTATTGAATTACCTGAAATTAAAATTTTATTTCCTCATTTTGTATCGTTGATAAATATTTATTCGGCATTTATTCCATTTTTCCAGAAAAACCTCTCAAATGGTGATAGTTAAAAAGTGGCATGCATTTCTCAGGAGGATGAGTATTCCTTTGAAAGGATGGAAGGAAGAATAGGAGGATGAGTATTCCTTTGGAATGGTGGAAGGTAGCCTGAGATGATGATGCCGCACGATAGTCCTGCACCGCCTCCTGCCTCCATAATTTTAAGCCTTCCACCTAGGAAATCCGCCTGCATGATAATGCAGACATCGAGGGGCTCACGATAAATTCTTTTCTACCCTCCTAAATAAGCATTCGCATTAGTTATTAAGCGTCAAGGACACCTCACGCATCGATCGTCGCAGTCTTCGTTACGTAGGGGATTCAGGCCCCTCCGTTTATGAGTGGAACCATTTCCGTTTAAGAGTGGAACATACACGACGACCCCCGAGGCCAATTACCAATGCTTATGCAACCGAAAAATTCAGGGACGATCGCAAGTAATTCAATCGTATGACTCGGAAAAAAAAACAAGTGAGGGGACAAACATGAGAATGCGAGGAAAAGAGGTCGTATAGAAACGTATGCATAACTGGAAAAAATTGCATCATCGGAGACTCCTTCTCTGCAGGTAGCCTAACATCTTTAACAGACTCATCTGATGACCAGTCTCTGAAAGAACAAGAAAATTTTGCCTTTTTTCCCTAGCATAATCTATTGTTCGCCAACCACTCTCGACGTCAGTGTCGAGTAATTGGACGCGAGAGTGCTAGTGCTAGATGGCCCCATGCTCCCTAGAACCATTAGGGGATTTTCCACATTTTAAAGCAAAACCATTCTCTGTAATATTTTTTTTTATAGAATGAGATGAAATGAGCACATCAAGCCAAAGGGCATAAATGAAGAATAGAGAAATGAATTCCTGTCAGGTGACATATGGCTAGAGAAAAAGATGAGCCCTTGTGGATGTGCTAAATGTTGACCTTTGACGCAGGTAGGATGGGGGAAAGAACAGGCGATTCCTCGTCGCCGTCGCCTCCTCACGTCCATCTATTCTCGTGGGAAAAAGGATGGCAGACGGCCCAGCTTCAAGGATTTATGCTGTCCATGGACTTCCTCCCGTGGACGCTGGTGGTCGTGTACGTCCTTGTCGTCCACTCCTTGAGGGCGTACATGAGGACCCGGAAGCCCATGGACCTCAGGCCCGTCCTCGTCCTTTGGAATCTCGTGTTGGTCGCTTTCAGTTTCCTCGGCTCTCTTCGCATGGCTGTCACCGTGGGGCATGGAATCAAACAGTACGGAATGCACTACACCATATGCGGTTTCAGGTGAGTGCAGCACGGTCGAAGGCTTCAGACTTCACCTGTGTGGTGTGCATCAAAACGAGTCTTCTCTCGTACTGAAGAGGAAGAGAGACGGAGGAAAAAAATTCCCATTAGTCTTGAAAGTCCTGCGAAGTAAGAATTTGAACTTGTGGCATAAAATCTTTCGACACGTCAAAAAATTTTTGTTTCTGCCATTTACAGAATCGAACCAGCAAATTAATTTACACAAGAGCTAGCTTAAACCTTATCTCCTTGGTCTCGATGCTGTCAAGCGACCAATTTTCCTGATGAGGCGTCATTGATCGATGACGATCTCTAGTAATGCAGAAGCTGTAAATCGCTTTAGCTGATTTGATGCCTCAGGGGACGCATTAGAAAGTCGCGGTTTCTAGTTGATGTGCGAATGAGGCCCAAGGGAATTTGCCACTGGCCTTCCCCTCGAATCCGTCGAGTGTGACAGGACACGGTATTCTGATAATTCTACTGAAACAGGGTATCTCTATGAGTGTTTACCGCCGAATCGTCCGTGGATTCAGCTTCGGCATGGAGTTTAAATGACTCTTAATTAATTTTATCGGCATCGGAAACTCGATTCTCGGATCGCTTCAAAAATGTGCAAGAATGGATTTTCTTTTTCAGGGACCCAGACAAGGAAGACATAGTTGGCTACTTATGGTCGGTGGTGTTCGCCTATTCCAAGTTCGTGGAATTGGGCGATACCTTCTTCATCGTCCTGCGAAAGAAGAAGCTCATCTTCTTGCATTGGTATCATCACTCGACCGCCCTCTTGTTTGCATGGATCACGTCTAGCCGCGTGGAAAACGTCGGCGCCTACTTTTGTCTGATGAACTCCCTCGTCCACACGGCCATGTATTCGTACTTCCTCGTGACGGCCGTGAAGGTGAAGGTCCCCGCGAAGAGCATGATGGCCCTGACCGGCTCGCAGATCCTCCAGATGTTCTGCGGTCTTCTCATCTGTTCTTACATCCTCGTCCAAAAGATCTCGGGGGAATCATGCAACCTATCTTATTTCAGCCTCGCCTTCGGATTCCTCACCTACTTCACGTTTTTGATCCTGTTTTTGAATTTCTTCGTCCACAAGTACCTCCTTTCAGAGAAGTCCGCTAAGGTGCTGCGGAACGGACATTCTCATAGCGAAACTCTCACGTATTTGGGCAAAGATATCGGTGAAGCTCTAAATAAGAAGAACGGCTGAGCTTCCCTTGCTTATGATTTTGCATATTTTTTGGGTCTTCTCGATTGGAAGCTCATCGTTGGCCTTCATTGAAAATCTACTCCTAACTGGCCGGCTACGAAGCTTCACGTTATATTTATTTCGAAATAAAACTTGGATTTACTCTACTCATCAGGACTTTAAATCTGATTTTGAAAAATCTTGATAAGCTTTCCAAGTCGTCTCTCCTACACTGAGAATGCATTGAATAAAAGCAACTGGTATAAAGTGATACAAATCGTATAAATCTCTTAAGACGGGTGCGAATTTTGCTATGCTCTGCATATTAGACTGACAAATTACTAGCCACTGTGAGAAGCCTGTGATACGATAATCGAAGGAAGTAGAGGATGTTCAAAATTTCATTTTATCCAATGCACACCCTGCATGGCGATTATTTCTTTTTTTTTACGTGTCAATTGGTTCATACATGCGTTCCAAATCAATTTCGCTTTCAAAGGGTTCCTGCTGGCATTTACTGTATTTGGACTGTAGTACGAAAATGGGAAAAGAAATCCTCGTGGCCTTCTGTACTTCCAGCAAAAAATTCTTGACAGGGAAGCATTAGGTGCAGTTGTGAAAGAAGCCTGTGAAATGCAGATCTAACTGGAAGATTTATGTCAAGAGTATAGAATCCCTGATGACTTGACGAACGAGCGTCAGCTGCTGCCAATTTCTTTATCATGGTTCGGTTGCACAATGCTCTCAATGAGCTGGTATTCCGAATTTCCGTGTTTCCTCCCCCAGTTTTTGAAAGGAAATTGCAAACCAAAACTACGTTGGGTTTATCGACTGATCAACCGAGCAACCCAGATCAATCGGATTGTTTTCTCATGGATTAACAGCAGTTAATGCTTCCGTATCGGAGTCCCTCGAGACCGGTGGCTTGCTTGCAAGCAGCATGCCGTTCGCCTCTTGTCCGATTTTAAGCGCATCTCATGAAATCAGCTTTTCTTGGCTAAAAAAAAGAGCCAACAATAAGGCTTTACCTTTTGTTAGGGTTTGTTAGCCAGCTTGCTTTTTTGTTCCCATGTCAGTTCTCTCAGAAGGAGCTGAAGATAAGTTTGAAAAGGAAAGAGAAAAAAATTGCAACGCCTCTGCCTTATCTGTCGACCCCATTTCTTTTCGTCTCCTTTCCGCCGTCATTCCCAGAGATAAAGAAGCTCCCAGAATGACTTCTCTCATTTCACCTCCATTCTCCTCCCCCCATCACCATTCCCTTCCCTCCTCGTACCTTTTATTTTCAGTCCGAAATAATGTCGAAGGCGAACGTCTATATAAAAGGGCCTGGATGAGGGAATAGCGACAAACCAAATTCTAGTAATTTTATGCAGGAGTAGGTACCCTTTCCGAGCATCTGCTGGTGCATCAAGCCTACGATTGTAATGAACGCATCGAAACACGTGCATTCGTGTCTCGTATCAGAAATCAATATCGATCGACCAATTTATTTCCCAAATGGAAACGAAATAAAAGCAAATTGATTTACATTCATACAGAGGAATTGCAATTGTGAGTACTGTTCGGACCATGGAATTAGGACTTATATCGGTTCCGTGTGCACATAATTGGGAAATGCAAGGGCAAGGATGTCGATTCCCTTTCATGGCAAGCCGTCGATCGAGGAGAGGGGGAAAAAGTTGGAGTAATGGAGGGTATTACTTTTTGTGAGATACGTCCAGATGGGAGAAAAAGACAGGAATCGCCAAGCCGCGGCTGGAGCTGTCAGGTGTTCTGAGCAGAGAGAGAGAGAGAGAGGCGGGGAATGAGGGTAAGAGAGAGAGGAAGTTCTCTGAGAGGTTTCATTGAAATCCTGACCGTGGATCCCGAGCGCTAATTTCCCCTCATGTTTTCTCGTATTCTCGCAGGGACTCACGATGGGCTTCCGTATGATGAGTATCCAGAGGCTTTCTCCGATTGATCACAAAGGGAAGCGAGAATGAGAAGCCTCATCTGTGTGCGAGAGTCTCTCCTATATCGGCTACTCCTACTCTCAAGGCTCGCGACGAGGAGAATCCGCACAAGTGGCCTTGGATCTCGGGACCCACGCATTTTGCTCGAGACCTCACCTGGGAAAACGCGAACGGGAGATTACGGACGGATTGAACACGTCCCAAGGTGAAGATAAACGAAAAGTTGATGTCACGAGATGAAAAACTTGCGAGGAGCCAAATGGATCGAGGCAGCTCGGGATGGGATGAATTGGCGCGTAGGAGGAGACGGGTGTCTTTCTCCGGTGAAAAGAAAATGGTTCCTCGTGACGAGGCTGATAGCTAAGGCGTAGTTGGTTTCAGAGAGATCGGATCCCTTTCTTGCCGTCACGCATCGGCATGCCCCGTATATTCCCGCCTTCCCATCGCAGCCAGGCTAGGAGCAGTCGGGAATGAGGTCTTTCATCTACTTCCACTTCGCGAATCGCGCAGTTAATGGAATTACTTCCTTCGAAGGGTACGCATTCCCCAGGATAGGATTACGTCTCCTCGATGCCGCGGGAGACAGCGATCGGAAAGGGGTTGGTATACGAAATTTGAAAGCTGGACCTTATGGGATTCTCTATCACAACTGGAAGCGTAAAAAATTCCTCATTGTGATTCGAGAGCCTATTTTTTTATGTGCTCCAATTATTATTATTACTATTATACGACCTGGACGGTGAGGCTAGAAATATTACGAGGAATGCGATGCGTTCACGATGTGGAGTGAAGAGATAACCCGACGTATATTCACACAAGACGTACGACAGAAAGTTTTGTGAAGGAACTTCGAGGGCGGAGATGGCAGTTGAAGAGGGTGAAACACTGAAAGGACGGAAGTGTTCCTCGTCGACGACGATCAGCAGCCATCCCGACGAGGAAAGTGTCGGTCGAGGCACCTGACAGCATTCATCGGATGGATCCAACTGTCCATTCCGGACACCCTTAGGGTTACTGTTCGCGATATCGCAAATGAAAAGAACATCAACGCTTGCTCCGCACTCCATCCAGAGACGATCATGCACGTACGAGGGGTGATCAAAAGTTTCTGCCCTGAGATATGAGGAAATGTGGAACAAAATGTACTTTTCGGCAATCCCTATCTGGACGGGGGATATATTTGTCCCATTGATATAACAGGGCTTCAATTTCACGAGGGGGAAAATTATTTTTCCATTGTCAACTTAACATGCTTGACAGCTCAAAATATTGACATTGTCAGTTTCACCTTCGTGACCGTTTCATGGGAAGTTTCCATTTAAATGTATAGCATTGAACGAGCTGTTTTATTTGGATGAATACATGTATATAAAATGAATGCTTTAATATATTGCCAACTGCTCCGTATTCAAGTTTTGCCATTTTGAAATGGAATAACTTTTGGCTGGAACATTTCTTATGCACGAATTATTAGTAAAAACGCAAATGCACCTAAAACCAATTGCCGACCCTTGAAATTTCCAAAAAGGATGGAGAAATATAGGAAGCAACTGATGGTAACAGAAACGACAGGAGAAGACTTTCTGTCTTCTCCTGTCGTTTCTGTTACTTCAGGGCAGAAACTTTTGATCACCCCTCGTACATCTGAAGTTGAGAAAGGTGAATGCCGAAGAACCTGCAATCTGACCGAAAGTCAATCGGCAGAGGCGACTCGCGAGAGTTTGCTGTATGTTGGGCTTATGGAGATTGGAAATTCAATGAGAAATCGGCATGCATATCCCACTCCTTTTACAACGTACGTCCTTGTACAACGATTTCAACGATGGCGTTCGTTGCCGGAACCTCTATCGGGTCACGAATCAATACCCCAGTTCACCATGCGAACAGATGGCAATAGACTTTGCAGCACGATTTTTCGTAGATATGGTTACACCAACCCGAACGCGTAAGTCATCGGCTGGTCGGGCAGAAACATACGAATGTCGAAAGGGAGAAACCTGGAAGATCCAGAGAAGCGCGAGGGCAGGGGGGACTGCATACCTGCCGATGCGTAGGTGAACCAGACAAGGAAAGTATCCCCTTTGAGATTCTATTATGTATGTGTGCGTGTGTCTGGGGAGGGGGCGGGGGCTGGTAGGGCATCGCTATAAATCTTGCAAGACTGCAAAGATTTGATGACTGGGCACTCGTGCCTCTTCTCTTGGGACTTAGGTCTCAGTACGTTGACTACGTTGCGCATCTCCGCTTTCCGCTCGATTCGACCATCCTCCTCCCAACGAATGGTGGTAGCTCGCGTCCGAGAGTGAGACCTAAACTACGCACATGCGCCGAACGCCTGCCTGCTCGCCTGCTCCGTCCCCTACATTACGATGTCACACCATTTGCAGCGCTTTATTCACTCCGATTCCATCGTCTCTGATGAGAAAGCTCAAAGATCGTTCTGACTGCTGACATTCCGAAGACTTCATCCAGTAAAAGTCAAAGTAAAATGACGACTAGCCTCCTTGGAATACATTGAGCTTGGAGCAATATTTGGTTTTGATTGGTTTCGGTTCGCCTTAAAATGCTTATTACTGACCAGCCTCCACTGGCAAAAGCGTGTTTTTTTGTGCATTGTGCTCCAACGATGTCATACATTGGCCTTCCATTCATATATTCTGAAAACGAACGTGCGAAATGCCGTTCTGGTGAAGAGACCCGACGAAGGTTTTGTTGTTCAGGAGATGCACGAGGTGATATTGCTCAGATGACGACTCGTGCATTCGATGAAACGAATTCTGAGCTCGTCCCACTTCCTCTTACAGTGCAAGTATTGAAACAAATGACGCATATATCTCTGTAAAGCATTTAAGGTACTAATTCTCAAGAGAAACATTAGCGTCATGATTCATCATAACGCTAATTCACTCATTAAAAAAATTTACTGAAAAAGTTCAAGATATAGATAAATTTATTTTAAAAATCTCTTGGTACTTTTCCATG